TCAATTAATTTATCTAGCTGGAGAATGTGGAGCATTTCAAGTACTTGGGAAGCATAATCACGACGGACGCCCTATGCACCAAGGAAGTAAAAGCAAGGATAGCCATGGCCAAGGCAGCTTTCGTCAAGAAGAGGATACTTCTCACTAGCAAGTTGGGCTTGGAGATGATGAAGAAACTAGTGAAGTGTTACGTATGGAGCAGAGACTTGGACACTCAGGAGGAAGGAACAGAAATACCTGGAGAGTTTTGAAATGTGGTGTTGGAGAAGAATAGAGAAGATCGAGTGACCAACGAAGAAGTGTTGAGGAGAGTCAGCGAGCAAAGAAACATTCTGCAGGCGATTACACGAAGGAAAGCTAACTGGCTGGGACATATTATGAGAAGGAATGGGATACTGAGTGATGTCACCGAAGGCCAGGTTGAAGGAAAGCGAGGACTGGGAAGAAGACTGATACAGCTAACCGACGACCTTAAACAAGGAAAGAAGATGACGTTCCAGGAATTAAAGCGAGAAGCCGAGAATAGGGACAACTGGAGAGCTCTTTTTGGGCAGAGCAATGGACCTTTCGTAAGACAGAACACTTAATAATAATAATGACACCTGAAAAGCCAATTACAAGTTGTAAAATGAAAAACACGACAAAATGCAATAATAATAGAGTTTACTACTACGTACATTGATAGGCTTTAGGACACCTGAAAAGCCAAATACAAGTAGTAAAATGAAAAAAACACGACAAAATGCAATAATAATAGAGTTTACTACTACGTACATTGATAGAAGGCGTAATTAATCAACAAATATATTAACATAAGATTCTTTGACTATAATTCAGATCAGGGCCTTCGTTATTTCTAACAAAAACTTAAGATTTCATTCAAAATTTTCTATCATTCGTGCGTCTACACGACCACTTGCTTGTAATTCCTGTCACAAACAATCCAAAATGCGACAAGGGAAGGTTGTTTTCTTTACGAGCCTGAAGAGGCGCTGCTTGCCCTAGGCCACACTACTATGCACAAAGACCCCTGATTTAAGTCACTAAAAATTGAGCCATCATATCAGCTTGCAGCAATAAATTCAATGGTAGCTTAACCACTGTGATGCTTACAAAATGAATTATTCATACAGTATTATCGTATCTATCTGCCGTGTAACATGACGCAATCAGGCAACGAGTGTCGATCGGAAGCCCTCTTTCTGCAACACTGACACAAGTGTCACTTCCTAACCTACCACAGGCACTATTTAGAACTTCGTACAATATCATGGCAAGTCGGAAACTGGCTGTCATAAAATTAATAAATTTCTTATTAATATATTTATTTTTAATGTGTCTATTTGTGGCTACAACTGGAATCAAACTCTGGGTATTCTGAATACTAAGTAAATGCGTCATTTCCTAATATTCAAAACTCTCCTGGTTCTAGGCCGTCGCCATTAACAGTTAGAAGCAGAAGTTGGTCTAATATATAAGAATCCAGCCCGTACCGCGAAGAAAACACAACCCGTTACCATTGCAAATATCAACTGGTTAACGCTGTTTAAGGAAACATTGTTTATTTTCGAAAATTTCGAAAACCGTACATTGGGCAAAGTAGATATTTAGTGACTGTTAAATTAGGTGATAAATATAGATTAGTTATCGCTACGTTTTAGATGGTTAACATTAGAAATAATAAAACAAAATAAATCTGTAATTAAAACACCTGAAGACTAAAGTGTAGACAAGACACACACATCTCAGACAGTGAACAATGTTCAAATTAATGTCAGTATTACGTACAAACTATTGCTACAAATATCTGAAGAATCATAAGAGAGAATCAAAAACAGATTAAAAAAAGTTTTAAAAAAAACTCTTTTTAAAGAATGAATTAGGAATGGAGAAGAATTAAAACTTCTTTTATAATAAACGGGATAGAATAACAATAAGTTTAGACGAAATGAGTCTTTCTTAATTTCGTCTAAATGAACTAACACCCGAAATACTTTTTAAAGCCGTGGTCTCTTTGTTACTTTTCCATGACTCGAACACAAGAAACTCGATCCGGGTTGTAGCTTAGCAACCAGGTGTATCTGTCATGGCAACAAAGGATTCTCTCAGTTGCGTTCTTTTAAAAGCTTTAAAGTTCCTCTCGACCGACCACCACCACCACAATCATCATCATTATCATCAACCAAGACGCGGGACGGGCACAAACGGTTTCGTCACACCAAAGAAATATTTAAAACATCATAATTAAGCTCAGTTAAGCTCAGCTGACGGGATACTTTTTGTTAAAGCTATCAAAACTTTCTGCTTCTCAGAAGTTTTAAGTCAAGACAGACCCATTTTCTTCGTCATAGGGTACTTTTGAATTATTTTGAGCGCCTCGGACTACACAGCGTGGAAAGATTCGATTGATAAATAATAAATTGGATGGAATACGGAAGAACACGGAGCCCAATTTAAGGTACTATTCTAGAATTTTATGTGAATGAGGAAAACCAAGATAAATTTAAATATGATAACCGTTCTCGGAACCAAAATGTGAACCCCAGACCTCACGAATTCGTAACAGCAGTTGTAACCATAAGCCAAGGGCATCCCCCCCCCCGCCTTCTTAAGTATTCTCGATATTATTATCAGGCTTGTGTAGATTACCATGCATTCGTAGTAATTCTAATCTGATTTAAAATAAAACATTTTTCCATAAAAATAAAAATTACAATTTATTGACTTCAGCCAGTCTTACACTACTTATTTCAATAATCTCCACAATTTCTAGACTACAAACGTTCACGATTTACAAACAAAACAAATATTTAATCCATTTTATAAACAGGTCGAGAAGCTTCAACTATTTTGAGTCTAACTGTACAATGTTCCATTATTTCGACACACTTACGCCTGTCTTGCCTCGACTCAAATAGCAGGAACAACATCAGCGCCTGCTGTTGTTACACGGTAGAAAACCAATTAACAATTGAAACGCGATGTTGATGAAGTCGTTGTCATGGCAGCAATGAAATTTATCGAAAGCCATTTTCAACACAGCGGCTTTTCAATCTGAAATACACGATGAACTCTTTAACCAATTTGGTAATAAATTTCATACCGAAATGTAATTATTTTGCAGTCAACATAATAAAATCTTAATACATGTCGTAAATAAATGTGCATGTTACTACGTAACGCAATTTTAAGTTTATTATTAAGATACTCTGTAACTACAGTATTTGTTGACGTAAGTACGTCTATAAGGAAGGGTCATTCGGCGAAAAAGTGTAAGATGGTTACCTAGGAAATATCATTTGTTACATTACATTACAATTCATTTCATTAATTTATAACTTGTGTTGGGCAAGGCCGTGGTCTAGGCAACACGGAGTTTTCCTCCGTGGCATCCCAACAATTACTCCATTCACACACAGAAGAAGGCAAGGGCAAACCACTTCTGGATCATCTGCCAAGAACATATATGAACAGGTCCCAGTCCGAGAAAAAGGATGGAAGGATCCTGTTCAGATGGACCTGTCGTCAGACAGAACACTAAAAAAAAAAAATAACGTAGATGATGCAGTATTCTGGTTCCTCTGACACTAGACTGTCTTTAGAGTAAGGGCTCAGGAACACGTGCTTCAACTGTGTCTGGGAGGGAGAAAATATCTTGTCGTTATTGCAGCTGCTTACCCTAGTTTTCGTTAGAAATCAGTTTTGAAAGGCACTTCGACGGAACCGTGGTTCCACTGTCTCTTTTTGATTAATAGCGAAGAGCTCGTGTTAGCCGGGTTAGTTTAGCTAACACTATGGAAACAAATAATAAAAAAAATCTTTATTTCGGCGTTCATTGATAATGTATACATTGGAACAGAGGAACCGATTTGATAAAATGAAATCGTTAACTAGCCGCAATCAGCCCATGTTAGCCATAATGTGTATAAACAACTTTCAAAATGTTTACCCCCTGCATTGGAATTTGGCTAATATTCATTTTATAAAAGTCACGTTTCTTCACTGTTTATCGGAGACTCATTACAAGAAACTGAATGTTTAATGAAACAATGCAAGCAGAGTTTTTCAACAAATTGCAGGGAAACCGCGAAGTGTAACTGAAGTACACAGCACGCAAAATAATGACGTGGCTTTTATCGGACGGGCTAAAGAAACGATCCATGAAGTTCCACCAGCAATATCTATTATTTAAAGTTTTCCCTTGTGTGTGTAATAACAAAATAGTTAATAGACTTCAATAAGTAATAGTCTATAATAGTATAATTCGTTCACTCTGTTTATGACGACGAATTATTAATAGCACGTTTTATATCCTGCATTTTTATTTATCTGACTGGTATCGTACGTAATGTAATAATATTAAAAATATTTTAAATTAAACTGATTAATTTTAATTCCTAATATTAAACTTTAAGCAACATGACTTCAAGCAACGAGATGTAGAGTTGAAAGCCATGTGAAAACGATGTGGAGTTACTGTCCTCAGTTACAGGGTAGACAAAATTCATCTGAGCAGTTTGAAAAATGTATAGAACGAAAACTAAACAGGAAACAGCACTTGTTGAGGTTATTTTTTGTTATTGTTATGTTTGTAGATGTGACGTTAACTCCAACGACGGCCACTAGGCGAGACAGTTGAATAAAATCTCAGCCCGAGAAAGCTCTTTGTGTGTATGAGCCAAATTCTAAAAAAAAATATATGAAACTGTTTTTAAATTGGGTTTCGGAAAAGTTTCATAACAATCTTCCATCTGCCAGTTAAATTTCGTTTTTCGAGTTGATTCAGTAAACTCTCATGCCAACACTTACGCTCCTCGTGGCCATTTTTGGAATTACGTCACTTGTCGTATATGGCAAAATTTTTAAAATCCTCTTTTCAAATGCAAAAGTTTTATTCCTGCGTGACATTTAGTTGTTACCGAATGAACATTTTAAATCGTTCAGATAATTCGTGTACATCCTGTATCATATCCTCAAATAAAATGTATTCTTTCAAGCAGATGGTGACGGCGACGCTGATCTAGGTGGCAGCACTGGCGGCGGAGGAAAGCGCCGTCGGTCGCGGACCAACTTCAACAGCTGGCAGCTGGAGGAGCTCGAGCGCGCCTTCCTCGCCAGTCACTACCCGGACGTGTTCATGCGGGAGGCGCTCGCCATGAGACTCGACCTCAAGGAGTCGCGAGTCGCGGTGAGTGGACTCAGCTAGCTTAACAGCGCGCAGTTACGGAACTTCGCTTGTTTCACTCTTAGCGTTGAAGAACAAGACTTAGGCCAATATGGCGGGGGATCTCGACGGGTCAGGCAGCTTATACCAGAGACTCAGAAAGCTCACTTGCCTTAGATGCAAAGGGGACATACATGGGGTTCTTATGAACTACACGGCACGAGCTTAGGGAAGTGTTATGTGCACAGACGCGAGGGGGAAAAATGTAAATATGGGTCCTTGGACGCTTAATTTCTGAGCTATGGCCCTCAAGATCGCCTTACTTAAACCCGCTCAATTTTTTTATTAATTCGAAAATCATTTTTTAATCTACAGCGGTTAATGAGCTGAAACAGAAGGTATAAATACACATGTGAGCTAATTCATAACATGATTAGAATTTATTATCTTCTTCGATAATCTTTGATGAGATACGCCAAACATATTCTGAATACCGGACACGCATATAACACAATAACAGGAACAATGGATATTTTAAAAATAGTACAAAATAAAAGACATAGAGATACAATAGAAAAATATTATATACAACAAACATTTAAACAAAACAATGAGTCGTTCTTGAAGAATTAGAGCAGTGTGAGTCCTTCGATTTACTGATTTATAAAACAAAATGAACGATGTTATTTAGCTCAAGAAATACTACGTAAAAGTTTGCAGTGTAATTTATACTTTGTTGTCATTGTATCGATTTTAAATCCACCTTTCGGTGGCGTTGGTGCTTGACTGGGAGATCCCACACAGCGAGTACACACGTTGGAACTCTCATGGGGAAGATACCACCTGAAGGACTGAGATGGGATGATGATATTTCAGATAAGCGAGTTGTGAACCTGACTGAACCACACAACATACGAGGCTCGTCCCCCAAGTAAGTTTCCCTGGGGCCGTTTACAGAAACAAAGCACAATTTCATGGAAATATTTATTGCGACAGATACAGCAAGTGTCCAGCTATTTTTCAACATATTCGCCACCGGAATTGAGACATTTGTCATACCGTGGGACCAACTTTTAATACCTGTGTCGTAGAAGTCTGCCGCCTGGGATTGGAACCACTGTGTGACAGCCATCTCCGCCTCTCTGTCATTCTCAAAACGCTGACGCTGACGCTGACCGGACAGGAATTTCTTGAGGTGTAGGAAAAGATGGAAATCACTGGGAGCGAGGTCCGGGCTGTAGGGTGGATGATTAAACACCTCCCAGCTGAACTTCTGCAGGAGACTTGCTGTCCGTCGAGTCGTGTGCGGCCTAGCGTTATCACTGACCGCACTTCACAGTCGGCGGGAGCTGGAATAAGAACCTCCATCTTCAACAGCTGCAACGATGCTACTGTGAGAACGCGGGAAGTACCGTTAGTGCATGCGCCATGCTACGTCATTGCTCTATCACGTACGCACAGTCGCTTCGCGCAATATAAGGTTTTCTAGCTGTGGGACGAGTGGGAAACTTACTTTTGGGACGCGCCTCGTATGTCCTATGCAATCCTATACCAACGCCAACTCTATGCAGTAGAGTCGCTCTTTAGAAGCTGACAGTCACTTAATAGGTAAAGAAATTCCTCGTCTTATTATTTTTAAACCTGAACTTAATCTCCGTACTCAAAACAGCACGCCACTGGCCACTACCCTCAGTTACATGGATCCAGACCACACTCTCCAAAGTTACTGGTATTAGTTTTAGACCCATTTTAATATTATCCTTCCACGCCGAATAATTACTAATTTATTATAAATTGCTTTCAGCCACCCGAGTGATCTAACTTTTCTATATTCTCTGCTTACAAACATCGTCCTCCCTAATTCCTTTAATTGTAATCGCCCTGATGTGCCTTGGTGAATTTCATATTACGTAGTCTTCTCTTGGTCCACGGTGGTCTAGCGGTTAGAACGCTGGCCTTGTAATCCTGGGGTCTCGGGTTCGATTCCCGGCGGTGCCCGAATTTATAACTTGTGTTGGGCAAGGCCGTGGTCTAGGCAACACGGAGTTTTCCTCCGTGGCATCCCAACAATTACTCCATTCACACACAAAAGAAGGCAATGGCAAACCACTTCTCGATCATCTGCCAAGAACGTATATGAAAAGGTCCCAGTCCGAGAAAAGGATCGAAGGATCCTGTTCATATGGACCTGTCCTCAGACAGAACACTAAATAAAATAAAAGTATTAAACCCTGGGACTATGAGCATATTCTGTTCTCACATTAACTTTTATATGAAGTGGGAGGGGTCAATGAACCCTTTAATATTCACCTTGACATTTAACCGTGATTGATTAACGACAGTTGAGTATCAAGAGATTCCAATCAATACCGGCTCGCTACGTACAATTTCTTTTGCGTCAAAGTCTCGCTCAATGCACATAATAGGCTACTTAGTGAAGCCTACATTGCTCACTAATTTCCATTTTGTTCAACAGAGGTAAGTAAAAATTAATTTATCTGGACGTCAAACACAGAGAGCCAGAGAGAATCGAAGAAAAGTTAAAAGTACATTTTTTAAAAAATTTCATGACAATTACAAGCAAACTTATCATAAATACTTATTGAAATGCAATTTAATAGCACAAAATCATGCTTTAGAAGTACAGAAATCCATTCTATCCATGATGTATGAGAATCTAATAGTTGCTCAGGTTCATTACATGCTCAGAAGATTCCACCACCATTCCCTATCCTACTCCATCCAGTTTTCCTTAAGATTAATTTTAATATTATCCTCTCATCCATCTACAAATGTCTTCGGAGTGGTCTATTTCTTTCGAGTTTGACAACCGCTGTGAATAAATTTGTTATATATATATACCATGCGTACTACAAGTCTCGCTTATCTCATCATTTGATCTTTGGATGTCATAATATCTGGTGTAGAATTTAAATTATAAAACTCCACTTTTCCACTTTATTTCCTCTTAGATCCAAGCAAATATCATCGTTCATAAGGCAGGCTAAAATACTTCTTATTTTCATCGTTTTATCTCGCCAGTAGATCGTTTTAATCAGTCTCATTACGCTGAATGCAACCCTCAGCTGTCTAATTAAATCACTTCGCCTTTTTACAAACAGCCTCGTTAATAAAGAAAAGTGACTTATCTCCATAAACCCTAGTCGTGAAGTCATCGTGACTAAATGCATGCATACATGAGCTCACTGGCATATTCGTGTATAAACCCATTAGTCCGATGGACCAATATCATTGAGATGTTTCGTAGAGTTTAAAAAATTAATTGATATTTTTATTGCAGATGAAATTCTCTGGTTATGTTCGTAAAAATTGAAGTTCAAGTTTATGCAAATCGTCTTTATTTTGTTTCTAAATATTCCAAACGATCGCCACAAGTATGAGGGTAAGAGAAATCAGATAAATGAAATTAAATTTCAGATTAAGATTAAATCACATTGAAAACTATTTGCTGATTTAAGTACGTTATTAGCCGCTCAGTCTGTGGAATCCTCATTTTCTTTAATCAGAAGCGACGTATCGACGTAATTTAGCTTAATTCAAAGGTTCAGTTCTAACACACCCCCAGACACGTGTGACATCCAGCGCAAATCCATGAGATAAGAAATATCTTCATCTTAATCCTGCGAGACCCAGACCGAGGCATACCGAATATTCAGCCACTGTACGAAAAAATAAGTACATATCATTCGAACAGCACGAAAATTTTGATCAGTTTAAACTAAACTGAACGAGGATAATCCTATCGCCTTACAAGCTCTCACTGAATTATGTGTGAATCTTCAGTTAACAAGTCGACTTCAAAAGCTGTCGAACATTATCTGAGTCTAATTAAAAACAAAAATGAAATCTGTAGCAGCCGTCGTCGAACTGCATTCTTCAAGGTCACGACGATGGAACACGATCAGCGCCGCTCAGGAAAATGGATACGGTTCACAACTCTCAGCGTAGCAAAGCGAGCATCACTGTGCTGTTAACTTGAAGTGAAGTTCTTATGTGGCCTTGGAGAATTCAATACTATGTTAACATAACAGCGCGTTCATCTGAGAAGACGCTTGAGGTCAGTGACGGATTCTAGAACCGAGGATGATAGCACAGACTTAACCATCGCTAACAAATCTCTGATATTTTCTCCGTGTAAAATGTAATAACGTAAATACGAGGCTCGTCCACAAAGTAAGTTTCCCTGGGGCCGTTTACAGAAACAAAACACAATTTCATGGAAATATTTATTGCAACAGATACAGCAAGTGTCCAGCTATTTTTCAACATATTCGCCACCAGAATTGAGACATTGGTCATACCGTGGGACCAACTTTTGAATACCTGCGTCGTAGAAGTCTGCCGCCTGGGATTGGAACCACTGTGTGACAACCATCTCCGCCTCTCTGTCATTCTCAAAACGCTGACCGGACAGGAATTTCTTGAGGGGTAGGAAAAGATGGAAATCACTGGGAGCGAGATCCGGGCTGTAGGGTGAATGATTAAACACCTCCCAGCTGAACTCCTGCAGGAGACTTGCTGTCCGTCGAGCCGGGTGCGGCCTAGCGTTATCACTGACCGCACTTCACAGGCGGCGGGAGCTGGAATAAGAACCTCCATCTTCAACAGCTGCAACGATGCTACTATGAGAACGCGGGAAGTACCGTTAGTGCATGCGCCATGCTACGTCATTGCTCTATCACGTACGCACAGTCGCTTCGCGCAATATAAGGTTTGTTAGCTGTGGGACGAGTGGGAAACTTACTTTGTGGACGCGCCTCGTACTAACGGGATTTTAAAGAACATAATTAGACCACGTAAAGCGTACGTAGGACTCGGATGGTTGGGCGTGTAGAAGGATTCACTTGCATGAAAGGTAAACAGTAAAATACGAATAAGATAAACACCAGTACGAAACAAATAAAGAATGTTCAAATTTGAGTTGAATGAAGAGAAAATTTAAAATTAAAGAAACGAGTAAAGTTAGGATGGGAATTGGATCTTTGGTGTCGCGTGGACGAACG